GAGATAATCGAGTCCTTGCCAGCACAATTTGCAACAAAGAAGCCTTTTCGTAAGGCCCCTGTATCTTGGTCGAAGGTGTGGAAGCAATATGAACTTCTAATGTTCTTTATGATTCATTGTAGTTTTTTTAGTATTGGAACTGTATCTTAGATGCTTCACATGCAGGCTGGTTACTACAGAGGGGAGATTGTTTCGTTGTTAAGGAAGCATAAGGTGATTAAATTTACCCATACTGATTCACGACTTGCTAACAATGGCCTCGCAGTCTCTATCCAGAGGCTTAGATGTCGTGCCAACTATGAGGCTCTTCGATACACAAATGAGATAGAGGAGCTTGGGAAGATATTGATCGATAGACTTAGGAGAGATGGTGAGCCATATATTGCTCTTCATTTAAGGTAATTATCCAACATATCATAAATAGTAAGTCAATTATATGCCATGGAGAGACTCAAATGACTTGTCTTGAAAGCAGATATGAGAAAGATATGCTTGCATTCACTGGCTGCAGCCACAATCTTACCACAGCAGAGGCTGAGGAACTTCGTAAAATGAGGTACAGTGTCAACCACTGGAAGGAGAAAGAGATAGATAGCGAAGAACGACGACTTCAAGGGGGATGCCCAATGTCTCCCCGGGAGACAGCTCTATTCCTAAAAGCCATGGGGTATCCTCCATCTACGACAGTATACATAGTTGCAGGAGAAATTTACGGTAATAACAGCATGAACGCATTTCGTTCAGAGTTTCGAAATGTTTCTCCCACTCCACTCTTGCAACAGAGGAAGAGTTGGAGCCTTTCAAGCGTTATCAGAATCGCCTTGCAGCCTTGGATTATATTGTAGCCCTCGAAAGTGATGTCTTTGTTTATACATATGATGGTAATATGGCAAAGGCAGTGCAGGGGCATAGGAGGTTTGAAGGATTTCGAAAAACCATCAACCCTGACAGGTTTATATTGCTTCTCTCTGACCCTTTAACCATCTAGTTTTTAGTAATGTCATTAGTAACCATTTAGTTTTTTTTTTTTTCTATTTCAGATTGAATTTTGTTAGACTGGTCGATTTATTGGATGAAGGCGCTATTTCTTGGGAAGACTATACCACAGAGGTGAAGAGGCTACACTCCAACAGAATTGGAGAACCATACCTCAGAGAAGCAGGGGAAACACCAAGACTAGAGGAGAACTTTTATGCAAATCCCTATCCTGGTTGTATTTGTAATAGATCTCAGGGGCAAATTATTAGTAGCCTGCAACTTGACCGGAGACCAAGTCCAAGGGCGGCCTCCCAACGATAGGGTGGTTATGTGACTGCAGTGTCAAAGTACACAATACTCATGCAGTGCTCCAAAGGTGGCTAATAAGGTTTTTAGACAGAAACTGCTTTGTCACGTGTTCAGGAGGCCATAGCACCGTACAGTGGCATGGAGAGGTCTCGAATGATTTTGCAGATTCAACTTCCAGTTTTGATGTACAAATACACAAATGAAGATACCATGAGGAAGCAGAGAAGGAGTTCTACACATAATTGATCACACAAGAGAGATCAGTCACCAGGCGTAATCGTTGTAAAATGTGGCATACAGATTTTTAGTTTCATTTATTCCATAGACAATTTCCAAATCAGGCTCATTGCCGATAAATAACAGCTGTTCAAGATTATCATAGAATTTCTTTTTACATTTCCGGAGATTTGTGTTTTGTTTGTGTTTCATTCATTTACACATCAAAAGCAGGCTATCAATCAAAAAAAGTTTATTGATGGGGCGAGCTACATTGTACCAACACACCTGAGCACTGGATGGTTACTGATATTAGGTAAGTTAAACCCTGTTTCAAAGGCGGGAGATCAATGCTTTAAAACAACCTGTTTCTCTTCGTTTCTTTTCAGTTGCATCCAGTTTACAAATGGAGCATTTTCGGTTGCCATACAAGATGCTCCATTTGATTGCTTTGTATGAAAACACAAAATAAATCATTCATTTTTGTGCTTCCTTCTTGTCCATTGTCCTCTTCGCTCTTAATTAGACATATCCAGCATCTTTCTGTCAGATGAAAGGGGAATGAATTAGGCTGCAAGACTAGTTTTTTTTTTGCTTGTGAAAAAAGGTGGTTAGGGGCAACTTAACCTTGCTGCTCAAATGTGAGAGAGAGAACCCGTAGCCAACTAGAAGAAGAATGGTATACAATCTATCTTGAATTAGTCACCTACAAAATAATTGACATCATTATCAAATAGCTGCATACTAATCAGTTATCAATCAACACCACAAGACACGGCATTTTTGCAACTCCTCTCTCCATCACAAACTCGCACCCACCTTAATCAGATGTGAAGTTTCCAAACCTCTAGGGGAACATAAAGCATACCGTGTTACTGATGAGAACTTCAATATTGTTGGGACTTGGCTTTGGTCATACCCAATCTACCACATTGATGGCACATAAACCTGTTCCTTCAGATTTTGTGTAGCACTTTCTGTAGGAAAACCTCTTACTGCACCTATTGTCCACTGTGATATTATTCCTGCTGCAATTGCAAAGCGAAGCTGCCTCTCCAAAATATCTTGGTTCTCATACATCTTAGGTTCAGTTGTTAGCTTTCTCATGATTCCAGCTACTATAGCATCACCAGAACCTGTTCTGTCACAAGTAAATGGGGTTATAAGCACATCCTCTGTTCCAACCACCACTCCATCAAATGAAGGGGCATAATAATGAATCCGGAGTGTTCCATCCGTAATAAACAAAAATTTTAAACCATCATGCCACAGAGGAGATATTTCCTCACGCGTATAATGATAATAATCTCGCCGCCTCTTGGTTTGCTCATAATCTTCAGCATAGTATTGAGGCCTATAATTTCTTCTCTTTTCATAATATTCTTCATCTAAAAGAAATTCTAGCTCCTGCTTTGTGACCTCAATGATGTCTGCTTGCTCCCATGCTTGCTTGATCACTTCTTTCGTCTCATCACGTGACTTCCACAATGGTAATGGCAGATTTAAGTCAAAAAATATAAGGCCACCAAACTTTTTAGACCATGAAATTGCTTTGAAAAGGGCAGAATGCATAGCGGGAGATGTAAGGACTTCTGAATTAAAATGGAACATTCTAGCCTGCAACAGAATCAAGAAGACAAACACATGCAATCTGTTATAAGTCTCATTTCAACAGAGTTATATGCACAAGAATATCATTTACTCTCACCATGGGGTACACATATATCTCACTGCTTCATAAGTTAAGAAATAATATGCCGAAACAATGCTGTAACATGATTCACTGGCAAATTTTCTGCTTCTTTAAGCTCTTGAACAACTAACTTATAGTTACCATACTTGAAACTGTTTGAAGGCTGAGGTATGTCACATAATCTTCCAACACTAAGGTCGTATGGTAACAGTTTGCAAATGAATAACATCAAAAGTATCCCATCAAAAAGTACTTGTAACCAAATGAACTATAAGTATTTTCATTATTCCTCAGAAATTTGGCACTCCGTAACTTCATAATGAGCATAACACTATTTTTGAGTCTATTGCCAAAATAGTGACCAATATGCAAAAGATGCACAACAATCTGTACAAAAAATTGAAGAAAGTCATAAGTTAACAGGCATCAATATATATAATATGGAACTTGAGATAACAAATAGATTGAAATAGGAAATTTCATAAACTGTTTGAGAAGCACATCAAGGTTCAAACAAAGCCCAGAAAGGAATCTATTTGAGGGTTAATATCCGTATATACATTGATCCTCTTATCAAAGAATGCAAGACTTTTCAACATGTATAACATGGGTCTCATTCAAGTACTAAATTATACGCAGGGGGAAGGGTCTCAAAACTATCAATTGAAGAATTTCCCACCACATCATTATAACCTCAACATAACACCTTGTCAAATGACCATTATATATATAAACAACAGCAAAATTTAATACCGTAATGGCTAAAATTATATGTTTATCTACTCCACAAGAAAAAAATTAAAATGTGTGCAGTCAATAATCAGAAAGTGAATTTCAAATACCTCTTTGAGCACAGCAAGGTTCAATTCAGGGCCAAGCAACGAATCCTCTGCCGTCTCTTTAGTCTTCTCCACCCTTATCTTCCCATCGTCAAACTTAATCTTCATGTAAGCTTTCGCAGTCCTTGCATTACCATCAAATTTCACAGCCCTCGTTTGTACTTTCTCCTTATTCAACAACAAAACCAACTCTTCACCAAACTCATCATCCCCAACCTTCCCCATAAACGCGGCCCTCCCACCAAGCCTGACATGGGAAATGGCCACATTCGAGGGTGGTCCACCTGGTGCTCTCACGAACTCCGGCGGGTTCCACTGGAGCATTTTCCATTGTGAATATATATCTGGGTGCATTTGCTCTGGTGCCACTCTAACTGTTGGCACAAACTCTTTTTGAGCTGCCCCGAAACAGCATATCAAAGGGGGGTCTTCATATGGAAAATCAATACCATCGTCATGGTCCTCGGGTTCTTCCTCAATTGCGCTTGTTGCTGTTATCTCTTTTGTTGCGGTCTCTCTCGGTCCTGTTTTGTCATTTTGAGTTTGGGATTTTCGCGTGCGTCTTGGTTTTGTTGTTGTTGTTGTTGTTGTTGTTGAGGAGGAGGAGGAGGAAGAGGGTGTGGTTGGGGATTTTTTGCGGCCTCGGCGAGTGGCTTTTGGGGCTTCTGGAGTGGTGGTGTTGTCGCCATTAATGGAGGCTTTGGGTTGGTTTCTTTGGTGGAAACGTCGAGGTTTGGGTGCTGGACTGAACCAAATGGATGAAATTTTGAAGTGGCTAAGTGAGTTAAGGTATAGAGAGTGAGAGTGGTGAAGGTAATGATGGGGAAGAAGTGATGGAAGGAGGTGAAATGCTGCCATGGCTGTGAATGCTAGGGTTTATCCATTTTCCTCTATTTCTGCTCTATTCTTCTCAAATTGGTTGTTCATAAACTGATAACACCGGGTCGGATCCGAAAGCAGTGGCCTGTGTAATGAACGAATAAGCAATCTTGTATGAACTTAAATTAGACCTAAAGAAATACGCTTGATAATTATAAATATTAATTTTAGTGCGGTTCTAATATTTATTGGGATTTATTATTTATTCAATGGTTAGAATTATGGGTGTTCAAATTTTCAACTGGCCGCAAGTTTCTACTCTATCATACCCTATTGAACGACTAACCACAAAAAATCGGGTAGGAATGTGGAAGAATTTTTAGTTGTTCAATAATTTTCGGATAAGAATGCAAAATAGTCATATATTTTCGTATTCCTACCCTATTCTACTAGCAATAATTTTTTAAAAAAAATATATATATATATATAAACTAAAAAACCTCTAATCTACTGAGTCCTAATAGCGTTTGCGCCTCACACCTCACTTGGTCACTCCACTGCTCCTCCTTCATCGTTCCAAACTTTCCACCCATGTTCTCTCTCTCTCTCTCTCTGGTGTGGTTTGGCTTGGAAGGTCTGATCATTGACCTTCATCTATAGTAACAGATCGGTGCCGCTATGCGCGATTTGGTCATGAGTTTTAGATCAATGCGCGAACTGATCACGTCTGATCTGAGTTGCAGATCCATGAGTTTTTATCCTATGTTGCAGATCGTGATGGCCTGATCTTTGTTCTTATGTTGTAGATCTGGCTATTGCCATTTTGTTTGTGTATACTTACGAGTGAACCTAAATATAGCCTCTGCTTGAATGTTGTTTGCATATGTCTTTCTTTTTGAAGAGCAGACACCACTTCTCTATCTCAAAAGTATTTCTTTTTCGATGGTGCTGGTATGGTGGGTGGTGTTTTGTTGGAATGGCCTTGGAACCAAGGCTAGTGATGATACACAAAACTAAATAAATGGGTTGTTTGTACCAGCAGTAACTTTAATTTTGGTTTGTTATTTTCATCGCAATATAGATTACTGTGAGAAACCGACTACTGTTATTCATCGCAATATAGACTATACCTTTAATTTCGTTGCCTGGCTTCCTATCTAGTATATGTAAGTTAATCTGACTACTATGAGAAAATGTATGTTTTCAGAGATGAGGAGTTGCCTTGCTCTCAAATGTTTACTCGACTTCCTACCTGATTAATCGGGTAGAAAGTCAGGTAGGAATATCACACCTATCGGGTATGATAGGCCAAGAAAAAACTCTTTCGCAAAGTATCGGGTAGGAAGACAAAAGAGCATATTTTCTACCTGTAGGGTATGGTGAACACTCCTAGTTAGAATTATTAAATTTAATTTTTAAATTCATCTAGCATTAACCGAATTTACCCCCCAACTATTTGGTTCGGAGAGGACAATGCACTTACCAAAATGGACTTTCCATGACAATTTTTGGTTTTTTTTAAGTAAACTACACAAATGGCTTTTAAACTTCTTTTACCCATCAAATGAAACAAGATTTTATAGGTATGAAAGTGATTTAGGATTAGGGTTTAGATTGATGAGTATAAGAAATGAGATTTTTTGTCTGATAGGTTTCGAACAAATAGTCTAAAATACATCTAATGTATTGTCTATATGGTGAACACGTAAGACATTTCGTCCAAAAATCTAATGACCACTAATATAAAAACTTATTGGTAAATTTTAGAATTTAGATGTTCAATTGACATAAAAATTAGGTCAATGACTTAATTGCTAAAGTTTTAGTGTTTAGTAGTTCAATTGTCATGAAAATTGTTTCAAAAACTCAATTAACATAAGGATCATAATTTAAAGGTCAATTTGTATTGTTTACTTTTCATTTTTGAAAAAATTGAAAGTCAGTACAAAAATTTAGACTTAATTGAATTAAATACATTATAAAAATTTATTTGACCCTAAGGGCAGTTTTTTGAAAAAAAGACTAAAAGGTCATTTATTACTCTATTACTTTCTCTCTCTTCCATAATTTTTTTTTTTTCAAATATGTAAAGATTTGATTTAACTTTTGCATATCTCTCTCCTCTATTTTTTACTCTCACACACACTTTCATTCTCCTTATTTTCCTTCACCGTTACTCTATCTCTCTCTTTATATCAACGTTATAACAAAACAATTATATAATCAGTTACACCAATTAGTTACAATTACTCCTATAATAATATAAACAACTATTCATGTGTTCTAATAAATCAAACAGTTATACTAAACAATTATACAAAATTACAACACAAATTTAATTTGTCATTCAGTTGTTTATATAAACCAAAAAGTTACACAATTTTTTGTATCACGACATGGTTAAAATAATTATATATAGCAAATTGGGTTTATCATTACACAAAAGGGTTTACAATTATACCAAATTTGACGTATACAATTGGTGTAACCATGTCGTGATACTAAATGGTACAATTCTTTGATTTATATAAACAACTGAATGACACATTGAGTTGGTATCATAATTTCATACAACTATTTGATATAACTATTTGGATTTATTAGAACACATGAATAACTGTTTGGTGTATTATAGGATAATTATAACTAATTTGTGTAACTGATTAGTGTAATTGTATTGTTGTAATATTGATATAAAAAGAGTGATGGAGAGAAAATAAGGAGAAAGAGTAATGATGAGAGAAAATAAGGGGGAGAGAGTGAGAGAGAAAATAGAGGGGAGAGAGAGATGAAAAAATCAAATCAAATCTTAAGAAAATAAATTATCAATAGGATATAAAGAGAAAATAGGGGAGAGACAGAGAAAGTAATGGAGAGAGAAAAAAATAGGGGAGAGATAGTAAGAGAGTAATGGAGAGAGAGGGAGATAAAATAAGGGAGAGCGAATGAAAGAATAAGAATTATGCATAATTTTGGGAAGGATAAGTACATAAAAAAATCAAATATTATTTGAATTTTGTACCTAATTACAAGATGTTTTATTAAAATTTAACTTTATAAAATAAAATACTTATTCATACACTTTCTCTCAAATAAGTGTAAAAAAATATACCCACAATCAAAAAATCTCTCTTTTTTAATAAATTTTTGTTTGTTTTAATAGAGACTGGTTGATTGCTAAGGTTTACACTTTACAGAGTTTAGGGATTAAATCTTAGATAAAAAGAAAGTTTAAACACATATAGGCGACATAAGACGAGAGTTATATGTTATGTTTAACCTTCTTAATTAAATCCGGGCTTTCCATAAGCCTTTCTATAAGTCACTAGTCTTGGCAACAACATTGCTCAAGTAGTCATAACCGATGTTTGAATGTACGATAGAACGTAAAATTCGAGCCTCTAAAAAATTAATCTTACTATATTAAATAATAATTTTTTTTTCCTTCATTTTTTTGATTATATCATTTAAAATTTATTGACAAAATTGAACATTGATTGTGGACACAAAAAAATATTAACAAAATTTTCATAACATGTGTGTATTATCATGTATGGATATTTTATGAAATAAAAATTATGTTAAACTAAAAATTAATCAAATATTAAACGATGAAACATGTGAAAGAAATGAGTGATGTGATGATTTTGAAAAAAAAAATATATAGGAGATAAAATTCAACTTTTTATATGTTTTATTATATAAATTGGTTGGGTTTGGGGTGCATTGTGTAATGAGTTTATTGGCTAGCTGTTGCTTGAACTTTGGACTTGCATGTTTGGAAATGTGAGGTGATCAACCTTGAAATAGAAGTATTCCATTCTTGGAAAAATTATGATAAATGAGAGACAACTCCAATTAGGATTCGCAACTTAAATTTACACTGCTTATTATTTTTGACATTTTTTTACAGTATTCTCAAGATTTTAGGAATGATCATTTCATATCCAATTGAACTAATTTTAGAACAAGGTTGAGCGATCATGTCCAAACTTAGCTCATAAATCCAACCATACTACTATGAGCTTGGACTAGCCAATTTTTGTTGTTCAATATCGACAACGAGGTATAAGATTCAAATACCATTCTGTTTTATTATATAGAAGATTACAAAACTACGTCTAGTTGAATTATCGAGTCATATGTTTATGTCACATCATTTTGTTTAATAACATTTATAATATCATACAAAATAGTAGTAATAATAATATCATGGGAGCCAATTATAGTAGGCAGGTGGCATTGACCTTATTCAATTTTGTCCGGCCATTCTTCCTAAATTTGAATTTCAAAAGAGTTGTTCTTTCCCCGCCCCCCCACAAATTAAACTAAATGAGACCGCTGATTTACTATCCGTTACAAAAAAAAGTGACAGCTCATTTCCACCCATTCAAAACCACCACCTAAAATTCAAACACCCAACCAAAACATTTGAACCGTTAGAGCCCGCTTTCTATAAATAAACATCCCTCTGTCCCTACAAACACACTTTCATTTTGATTTCTCATTATTCTCTCTCTCTCTGTGAAAACCTTCTCATTGTTCCACAATATCTACCCAAAATGCGTGAAATTCTTCACATTCAAGGTGGCCAATGCGGCAACCAAATTGGTGCCAAATTCTGGGAAGTCGTTTGTGCTGAACATGGCATCGATTCCACCGGTCGATGTGACGGAGGTTCCGATCTCCAGCTCGAAAGAATCAATGTCTATTACAATGAAGCAGGTGGTGGGAGGTTTGTTCCCAGAGCTGTTCTCATGGACCTCGAACCTGGTACTATGGACAGCATTAGGTCCGGTCCTTATGGCCAGATTTTCCGACCGGATAACTTTGTATTTGGTCAATCGGGTGCCGGTAACAACTGGGCTAAAGGCCATTATACGGAAGGCGCTGAGTTGATCGATTCTGTGCTCGATGTCGTGAGAAAAGAAGCCGAGAATTGTGATTGCCTACAGGGTTTGTTCTCTCTCTCTCTCTCACGCTTATACAATGTCAAACAACCTTTTTCTCTCCTTGACATTTTCACAAACAGTTTATATGCATTATTGGCTTATGTTGTATCTTTGTGTGTTTTCAGGTTTTCAGGTGTGTCACTCTTTGGGGGGAGGAACTGGATCTGGAATGGGAACCCTCCTGATCTCAAAGATCAGAGAGGAATACCCTGATCGAATGATGCTCACTTTCTCTGTCTTCCCATCTCCAAAGGTCTCTGATACCGTCGTCGAGCCATACAATGCAACTTTATCAGTCCATCAACTGGTTGAAAACGCAGACGAGTGCATGGTTCTCGACAATGAAGCTCTCTATGATATTTGTTTCCGAACCCTTAAGCTCACAACCCCAAGCTGTAAGATCTTCAGTTACTTCTTACTCTCTATGTAGGTTTGCTTGTAAAGGTTTGATATTGATCCTTTTTTGCGTATTTTGGATTGGAGCAGTTGGTGATTTGAACCATTTGATATCGGCTACCATGTCCGGGGTCACATGCTGCTTGCGATTCCCGGGACAGCTAAACTCTGACCTTCGGAAACTCGCTGTTAACCTCATCCCCTTCCCTAGGCTCCACTTCTTCATGGTTGGTTTTGCGCCTTTAACATCCCGTGGTTCCCAACAGTACAGAACTTTGTCTGTGCCAGAACTCACCCAGCAAATGTGGGATTCCAAGAACATGATGTGCGCCGCTGACCCGCGTCATGGCCGTTACTTGACAGCATCTGCAATGTTTCGTGGCAAGATGAGCACAAAAGAGGTTGATGAACAAATGATCAATATCCAGAACAAGAACTCATCCTACTTCGTGGAATGGATTCCTAACAACGTGAAATCTACTGTTTGTGACATTCCGCCAATTGGGTTGAAAATGGCATCTACTTTCATTGGGAATTCAACATCTATTCAGGAGATGTTTAGGCGCGTGAGCGAGCAGTTTACGGCCATGTTCAGGAGGAAGGCTTTCTTGCATTGGTACACTGGGGAGGGAATGGACGAGATGGAGTTCACTGAAGCTGAGAGCAACATGAATGACTTGGTGTCGGAGTATCAACAGTACCAGGATGCCACAGCTGATGAGGACTATGAGGATGAGGAGGAAGAAATTCAAGACTACGATGAGTAAACAATGTTGAATGAAGGTGGTCTTGGGTTACCTTTGAATGGGGGTGGTTTTGCTAATCAATGTGGCATGCCGCAACTTTTGGTTGCCTATCTCGAGCAGGCGAATGTGGGGTAGAGCTCTACGAAATATTACTATTTTCTTCACCTGTCTTAAATAAAATATTTGACATTCAAATTTGAACTTTTCTTTGTCTCTCGTTTAATATTCTATTCCTTCTTAAATATTTATCGTTTAAGATTTTTATATAGGGATTAAGAAAGCTGATACCTAGCTTTCACCTAATTTAATGCATTGAAAAGTTAAGAGTAAATTTGGAAGAAAAAATATTAATTATACTTTGAAAAAAAAAAAATTATGTAAAACGATAGATATATAGGATAGGAGAGAGTACATTATTAGGGTTTGATTTTTGCATCTTCTTGTTGTCCCGGTAATGACTTTTTCCTTTAGTATCAAAGATAGAATTTGCCCTGAAATTGTGAAACATGTGAAGTGCCAAGTAGCTTTGCATCTATCTATGTTACAAAATCATCAGGGTTGGTGGAGATGTATGGCATAGGTTCCTGAAAATAGATGCATTTGGCCATGCCACACAATGAATGCATCAATTTCAAAATTTCGGAGCAAGCTGTGTTTTGCAGTGGTTAATGCGATTCTGTACTAGAATGGGGTTTTGAACACTGGCTACTTCCAGGATGGAAATGCCAAGGTTTACCTCAGCTACGAACACAAAAGAAACTAACAAGGCAAGATGGAAACGCAAGTAGCAGTTTTCTTGACGGATCCAGCATGTCAATGCAAGATGGTGGACAGCTCCAAGTTCCTAAGACTAGGCTAAACCAGTGCAAAAAATCCTGAAGATAAAACAGAAATGCTTGAACATTGACCTATATTCCCCACTAAGGTTCCTCTAATTTATGAAGAATGACTAAAACCGGGCCCCATTGTCGGTATAGACAAAACCAAGCCCATATGTGAAAAACTCGACTCAAAACTACGAAAAATTGAAATCTGAGGCAAAAAAAATGGGATTATTTGTTCTAGTTAGACTCCAAAAAGCCCTAGTGACAATATGTACAGTTTAAGAAACCAAAAATACACATCAGACATGGCATAGTAACATCATTCACAATGGGTCAGACTCGGTGCAATTAATGAACCACTTATAACAAAAAGAAATCCTGATTTTTATGACGCCAAAGCCACATTCCCCAAAAGAAAGGAACTTAAATTTTTTTACCACATTCAGGCTTCCTCTCATTGTTTCCAGCAATCAAAAACTACAAATATTCTAGTTATTGCCATCATCTAACTAGGGATTAAGTGGCACGATGATGCCCAAATAACTAAACGATGCTTGAGGCAACAACCAAGTGCCAAAAGTACAATAACTGGTAAATACATTAAAGCAGAAGAAAACTGAACGAGCAAATTGTTCGAGATACCTTCTTCCAGTCTTAAAAAACACATGAGAAGCTCAACGTTGCCCATGAAACTCGGGCATTGAGAAGTTTCCATTCTCAAAATTTATCTATCATAATTTCAAGTAAAAACCAAATCAAAGTTCTAATCATGATACCAACTGAGTATAATAAGGGGCAACAGATGCAACGTCAGAACCAGAAAAATGAGCACATATTACCAAAGAAGCTTTCCCAGGTGCACACCGGAACAAAATTTTGGAGCTTAAATTACAACAGTACAAGCCCAAGTTCTGATGGTCTTAAGACATGATTAATCCGATAGTTGTAAAGATAATAGTGGAGTTTCCCATCACCAGGCCCGAATTTCAGTTCCTTCAAGAAAGATTCGTTTTGCATAACATCCAATGCATTGAAAACATCATAATCCTTTTGTTTTGCCACAATGAGAGCATCATTCATCAACTGAAGCAATGGAGTTTTAGTTGATACATTGTAGTAAGAATATGCAGCCTTCAAAGTTGAGTAATTCTGGTTGCCAAGGATAGACGAGGGAAGTGTGTAAAAACTGCAAAAATCTGTGATCTCATGAGTCTCAGGGCTTTCAACAAGGTAACTGTCCACAACATTCTCCCTTGTAAGAAGCAAGTGCTCGACATCATTTTCATCAAAGTCTGGTGCAACTAAGAATTGCTTCAAGTAATTCTTAAGCAGACGGGTAACTGCTGGAACATCATGGGGTTCCATCTTTCTAAACCCAGGAGTGGCTGTTTGATCTGGTAACTTGTACAGCTTTATTGTTCGGCTCATTGTCATCCTTGGACCGAGCCTAGAAAATCCAACATCAATAAGCTTCTTTGGATTCAAAGATCTATGCCAATATTGACAAGTTGATATGGGCGTAGGGAGAACTACCCCAGCAGTATAAGCTGCTTGCCAGATATTCTCCAAGTGAACCCTCCTAGTCACCTCCTTAATCATGACTGGAGCAAGTCTTTTCGATCTAAGCTTCTTATGAACACACAGAAAATTAATCTCCGCCATGTTAACAACAGTATCACGGACCCGGATTCTTGCAGGAACCCCTGTAATAAAAGCAACCAACTTTTTGGAGCTCTTCACTCGCACCCCAATATGCCAGCTCCTGTAATAACCCGGAGGGCAAAGTGCCCACAGAAGGAACTCCTTGGAATAGTTAAATCTAAACATGTTATCATCATCCTCAACATAATTATTGGAGAGGAGATTATAAACCTCAGTGCACATCTCTTCCGAGTCCATATCACAGGTAATCCATTCATAGAGATTGGGAAGATTAAAAGGTTCTTGTTTGACGTCTGACAAGGGTGTTGGAGATTCAATCGGACCTTCGGGCAAGCTTGTGTCCCCAAGATCTTTGAACTGCCCAACAGGTTGGGTTTCCCAAAACTTGTTTCTCCTTGCCATGGAGAGCGATTCATGAACTTTTCGTGCTAGCACATCGATTGAAACTTCACTCTCATTCTCAGAAGCTGAATTCCCATTGGGGCTAGGATTTTCACTCAGTGAATTAGAACTTGTATTGTTATCAGCCATTTCAACTAATCGAAATTAGGTTATCTGCATAGTAAGAGAAGTAATAATTTATTCAAATACTAACCATAGGGAAAAAAAAGTAGGAAAAAATGTTCCAACATTTAACATGTATTGTACATGCATAGATACATATTACTAAGACCAAGGCAGGATTAGCCAGAACCCTTATCATTCATTTCTTTGACAAGCACTATAACAATTTTGAAAAAAACAAATATCCGCAAGCCATTTCATGTAAAAACTCCACAAAACCACATCTCCTGAAATGTAGTACATTATATGGATTTTTTTCCCCAAATTTCTGCATATTTTAGAACAAGAATTAACATATGGAACTACAACCAAACACTGAGGAACTCCTGGGTCAAACATGTTTGAATAGCTTGAACTACCGGGTACAAGAGGACTGACCTACGTTACTTTTCAGATTTGGGTCTTTCGAATACTAACATTATACGGCTAGAAGTGGTACAAGTATTAGGCAATAGCATTCAAAAAACTCAAATCTATAAGCAATTTCAAGGAAATATGAACTTTTCAACCTATCCCAACTCTATTTTTCGAATACAAATCGGACGAAATTAACAGTCCACATACCTTCAACTGATCGGAGTATGGGCATCGGAATCTGTGGCCGGAGCTAGTCTGAGATGACGCAGACTGTATGCGGGTTCTCCCCTTCAGAGAGAATGGTTAGGTTACGATCTCAGACAAGGGGAGCTTAGGCCTTAAGTCATTTCGCAGATGTGTTCCTGTAGACTCTAACGGCTCAGATTTTGATAGTTTCGGAAACAAGTTCGACTTTAACAACTTGATCCGGGTTTAATCCGAATATCCGATAAATTTTACTTCTTGCATCTTATATCTAATTCTGTTTAAGATCGAAAAATCAATCCATTCTTAATAACTCAAGTAAGTTGAATTATTTCAAAGAGTAATACTATCGGAACAAATTATTAAAATTTTATTTTGGTCTATTATTTCGGTTACCTAAGAAACATAAATATTTCGACGTGTTTGGAAAACGCTTCAATCCGTTTTAAAAATAGAAATAAAAAAAATTATTTTTTCAAATTATTAGTTAAAATATACTAAAATATCTTGAAATACATTGAAACAATTATAAAAATGTATTGAAACATTACATAATACCTCAAAAACATTTAGAGGTGTCCATGGGTTGAATCAAACCACGAGACCCATTATTTGGCCCGAAAAAATAGTCTTGAGACCCAATAATTCTACATGTACCCTCGTATGTCTTCTTCAATAGTTTTTATCAATACACATATATGATAACTCTTGTTTTTTAATTCCTATCTTGCAATTGAACAAAAATCTTTCTATGTTCAATTGAGTTATATATGAGAATGATTAACATCGTTCAAGAGAGGACTTGAGCCTGCCACCAAGCATATTACTCGGCTTGAAACCTAATCCATTAGTTTGCCTGCAAAGAAACCCATTAAAACTTGGCCCAAAACCTGTCCGCCTGAACACCCATTTTGTTTGAAAAAAAAAATTGATCATTGAGAGTTAAACATGTGTTTTAAAGGATAGAGTTGCGGAAATAATAGATAAGTCTGGAGGTGCCAATCTAATTGAAATGTGTTTATTCTATTTTGATACAATTTCTGTCTATTTATAAATAAAATTATTCATTATTTACCTTTTGTCCATTTTAACTCTATTTTTAATTCAAAAATATAATTTATAAAATTACTAAGTTGGGAACTTTTTAAATGAAAATGTATGTATAATATATATATAAAGGGTTGTCCAGTGAGCCTACTCAATAGGGCCAACTAGTGAGTGGTGGATTAGAACTCAGGTAGCTTGCTCTTACTTGAAATCTAGTCTAACCCGCGTCAATAATTCACTCAGGTAAGGCTTGGGTTTACCCTACCCAGACTCAAATCCAAATCCAGCCCAATTTTTTTTTTTTTTAACAGGCCTAGCCTGACCCAATCCATGGACATCTCTAAAAATATTATGAAACATTTTGAAGTATTATAATTTCGATCTCATCACTAATTAGTTTCGGTCTCTTTAAAGACGGAAGTATTATAGACGATTCGCAACGAAATTTTGATCCTTAATTTGGAACTTAAAATTTGACATAATGATATGATTTCATTGAAAATCATGTATTTTACATATCTATGATTGTGTCCTTGAGCAGCCCATAATTAAAGACCGTAGTGAATTAGGCTAACAAATTAAATTCCAATAACATTTATATCTGCATTTCAACTCAATTCTCCCATTCATGTGTCAAATTTGAATGCTAAGGTTCAGTGCTAGATCATATATTGGTATACCCTAATTCAATTTCAAAAAATGCAACATAATTGATTCATATTCAGATTATTGTTAAAGAATACAAATTCATATCCACTTAATCGAAAATTATTAATATGGAATCTTAGGATGACACTATGAGGTATTGTTGAATAATATGAATACTTAAATTACAATTTCTCAAACTAACTTAAGTTTTTAATTTAATTGGTGTTTTAGTATTAGTATTAAAACTAAAGCAGGAAGAGAGCCTACGTTCGAATCTCGCCGTCACTTAGATAATTAAAAAACTTATAACTTAAACTTAAATAAAATACTTTATTTGTTCAATATCTAACAATTTAAAGCTCTCAAAATAAATTTGTGGTTCTGAACAGAACCTAGGGCTAAGATGCCAGTAAAATGAAATCTTAGCTGTTTGTTGCTCATCCAATGGATTCAAGAAGTAGCCCAATTTTTTTTTTTCATGGTAAAAATGTTTGGATCAGCTTATGCATATTTTGATTAATTCTCTTCTCATTCTGGTTAACGGTAGACTATCCATATCAGGATTAGGGGTATTCATGAGAAATAAATTTATCATGACCTAACCCCAAAAAATTACAAAAATTCAAATTCAAAACATCTGTATTTACGATTTGTCTCGCTCTTACGCACCTTGGTTAAAGATATATCTAACCAATAAGGAAGCACTGTTCAGACTTGAGAGTTTCTTTGTTACATAATTGAGTGAATCTAATGAGATTTTTTATTACCCAAAAGTCTTATAAACAGAATTGAATTAGCACACAGCTACAACTTTTCAATCTCTTCCATCCCATGGCTACAATCACCAGATGTTGAAAATGTCTCTATAGATTGAGAATCTGTATCTATGTAGGCAAAAATTTGCATCTCTCTCCTGTCATTCGTCGTGGTCATGACTTCTCTGACATGTAAACATTGGCACAACTGAACAGAGAAACCAACGGCCACATTGAAGAAGGGATGTCTGATGAACATCAAACAGCCAAAGCTTGACTGTTGAAAGATTTTCTTCCCGTATTCCTTCACCTAGCAGATATAAGCCCCAACGAATTGGTACCTTACAGTGAACCAATCCAATCCAACTGAGATGAGAATGGGAACACCCCACATGGCCATGGAAGTTCTAAACCTAGATTGTCATTCTTTGGTGACTTCACAGAGTTTTTCGCTTAAACACGCGCGCGCAATGCCCATTCCAATTACATCTTTAAGTTGAGGGCTGTTTGAAGACCCAATTCTCCAAGTTTGATCGAATTCAATAATTAAATTTCAAAACATACCAAACAGTTTTCTGATCAACCAATTCAGAGTCAGAAGTTTTATCAAACACCAGAATAACATGGCTGCTCATGAAGATAAAAGAAATAATATTCCATTTTCCAAATTTGAAGCTGTATTTTAATGATCATAACACTGGGCAACGTTAATACAACTACATTTGCATGATTGATCATTAAATTACAGCAAGACACTAAAACCAAAACTCACAAGCACAAAAAATGAAGATCAATTTACAAACAAAACATCCAACTAAACCCCAGGTCACACCTACTTCTTACCATCTTGGATGGCGTTATCTACAACAGCATTGAACTTTTTGTACTCCAACTCATTCACAGGGTGCACAGCATATTCCTCCGGAACCACAGGACGCCTATTACCGAAGATAGTCCACAGAAACAACACCATGAATACTCCAAAGACTCCACATCCAATGCCAAATATCACTACAGCAAGGACTCTCAGAACACAATCACTTCTCTTGTGAAGAGTCAAGGCTTTTGTCTTCACCACGACAGTCTGAGGATCAATTGGTTGAGAATGCATCCAATGTGGTACACGACGGAGCTTAAAGCTCCATGAAAACACATTGCATTTCTGAGATGAATTCCCACTTGATGAACTTAACCCCACAAAGACATCCTCTCCATTCCACATTTGTGACAGGTCAATTGGATAAGAAAGCAATGGATCAACTGGCTTAAGTTCACCTAATTTATTCAACCTAACCTCTAGCCGCCTTGAACTTGCTTCATAATCAATCCAAGCTTGCAATTTCTCACCACTATTCAGCACCAAATTGAGAGAGGAGACATTGCTCACTTTAACAGATGTAAAACCATCAACATCAAAACCAACATGATTGTCATTCACATCACCATACTTGATATCCATGGAAGTATCAAATTCAACACAGAGAAACCTCGTTTTTCTCTCACTACCCAACAACCCAAATGAGCCACCGTCAAACACATTCAAAGGAAAACCAATCGGAACCATCACAAAAGCTAAACCATTCCCATTTTCAGGTGACAACGAAAATGAGAAATTCGTTGAAAAAGACAACATTTTTAAAGGTTCTCCTTCAACAAGCTTAATGTGTTTCTTATACATCATTCTACCAGCACCAGAAATAGATGAACCAGTGATTTGAACGGACAAGCCGTCGTCAACTACTTTAGCATCACCATATAGAGAAATTTGGGAACCGAAGTTTGAATCTTTACCAAAATTCTTGATAGAGAATGATGAATTCGGGTCTGCAGTTATGGTTTTGAAGCAAAGAATGAGGAAAGAGAGGGCTGCAAAGTACCTGGAAGTAGAAAATGAAGCCATACTCGATCTGGGTTTGGTCTGAGTCTGAACTTTGTCTCTTGTTCTGGATTTACTAAGTCCTGTGGGATGAACCCATCATCTGAAATTGGTATCTATTCCTAGGGTTCGATTGCAGAGATAGAAAGACTGAAAAGCTTGGGGAAATGGGTAAGAGGTGGTGGGCGTGGTAGCGGTGGTGTGTTGGGCTTGGAGGTTGTGAAAATTAAATACATTTTACTAGTTTCTGCAAACACTCTGATTCACTTTTCTGCTAGTGGTTGCTGACCGAGGGAATATATTATGAGATTCTTTACAACTGTGTCCCTGTGTGTTGTAAAAATTGCGGATACAGGCTTCTGACATGGCTAATTTATTACTTTCATGTAGTTCATGAACTCTTTCTTTCTTCTCTATCGAAGTTAATGAATTCAGTAATTATTTCATGTTTGCCATTTAACACATTTATTACAAACAGCCTACAATGAATACAATCAGAATCTCTTTATTGGTTTTTATCCCTGTTGATTTTTTATTTTTTATTTTGGATAAATTTGATCAGCTAAAAAAAAAAATTATTCGGATCTACTTACATGCATTTCGACTAATCTTTTTCGATACACTTCAACTAATCTTTTTCGATCTGCAATTGAAAATTGAAACAACAGTAAGAGGGAATAGAACCCATTTGCATCCGCTTGAAGATGTCTATCGGTACAAGCTGGTAATGAATTATGCACAATACCTAGAAAAACAGTATTCCAGGTTTGCTATAGCATCTGCACATTATTCATTTGCTACACCAAAAACATGTTTGATTTGATGCACTTTAAAACCGTACTTTGTAAACACGTTTCATATTAAAAATGTTATTTCAAACAAGTTTCAAGTAAATGACATGAATAAAAAAATAATGAGGGATTCAATCAAAAAATAATTTTTCAATATCATATCTCTATTTCTTGTTCAACTAAAAGATTGAGCATGCATATTTATTATTATTATTTTATATTAATTGATCATTTTTTCAAGGAAAAATTTCAACCACACCCCTTCAAGTTTATCATATCTTTAAAGACACTCCCTCTAGTTTCTAAATCTTCAATAACACCCCCTGTCAGATTAAAAATATTAAGTAGAATACAATTTTACTAAATTGCCCATGATATATTTGAGGACAAACTTTATTCACACTCCTCTAGATAAACATATTTTCAATAAGACCTCCTCTAGATAAGTATATTTTCAATGAAACCCTTTCTGTTTTCTAATTTTTTTACGTAATTAAATTCGAACCGATTAAAATTTAATTCAAGCTAATTAAAATTTATTTTTTTATATATTAAAATTTGTGTCAATTAAAAATTATAATTTTTTTAGGTATTAGAATTTGGGCTAATTAAAATTTTGTTTGAGCCAATTAAAAATTATTTTTAATCGACTCAAATCAAATTTTAATTAATTCGCATTGAATTTTAATTAGTCTAAATTTTAATATATAAAAATATATGAATTTTAATTGATTTAAATTTTAATAAATCTAATTTTAATTGACAAAAATTTTAATAAGTAAAAAAATATAAATTTTAATCGACTCGAAAGAGAATTTTAATCGGTGCTAACAACTCAGGTAGAGTTCAAATCGGTTCAAATTTTAATATATATAAAAAAAAAATTTGATAGGCTCAATTTTTCTTTTTAAATTTAGGAATTAGTAAATAATAAATTAGTATTTACTAACAAATTATTTACTAAAATTATTATTTATGATTTTTTTAAAAAATTTTAACAGCTCGAATTTTAATAAAATTTTATGTAAAAAATTACTTGAAGTTATGTCGGGGCATTTTTGATATTTTAGATGCATTTTTTTTGTTAGAAATAATATTTTAATGGTAGAGGTGTCAGTGATGTTTAAATTAAAATAGAATGGGTGTTATTGAAGATTCAGAAACTAAAGGAGGTGTTCTTGAAGATATGATAAATTAGAGGGGGTGTCATTGAAATTTTCCCTTTTTTCAATCAATGTTTAAAAATCAGTTAAACCAATATCTATAATTATAAATGGATTTTGTTACAGTATGTATTTTCTTTTGGGTATCATAGCCATATCCAAGAATGAGAGGTACAGGATGATATTTAAATTTGACATTTGGAGAGTTTCTGTAATTTGAAAGTGACCACTAGAGCTGTTACTTTTAAAAAAGTACAGATTCGCTGGCGGCCAATGTCTAACTCGCGCAGTGAGCGTAGATTCTAGAATGGGCTAATCTCACTTTATACTCTAAAGTGGACTTCGCCCAAATTGTTGCTTAATTTTTTATCATAAATTAAAACACATAAATTACAAATACTTCGACTATGAACTTATGCGTAAATTCACAAGTTGTTGATGCCTCTTGTGAGTCGCATATGATATGATTAACATATATCTAACTGAAAAGATCTTATTTTTCATACATAAAATGGTATAAAATTGATTTTGGCAATGAACATACTACATCTTCATGTTCGAAACACTTGCACCTCACATACTTCATTTTATGATAAAAAAAAAAATTAAATGACAGTCTGGATCAAGTCTATATTATTGTCAATTCATAATATTGAGGGTATAAATTAAAATTTTTAATATTTAAGAGTGTAAATTAAAAATTAAAATATCTTTCCGGATGGAAAGTGATATTGGCCCATTCTAGAATATAAATCCACTTCTGAGTGTTTAGCCGACAATAAAGGGAGATATTTTGTGCACTGTGCCTACTTTAGCGCAATCTTTACAGTAAAAAACTAATATGCGCGTGCTTTTTGTCGTCTTGGTCTATACAACGGATATACATACATACAGCTAACCATGTGGTGGAGACAATGGGACCTTTGCTTCGATCAGGACGTCTCACTGCTCATATTTAACGAACCTTCGCTTTGCCAATTTGTCTTTTACAGGGTTAAGAGATTATTTATTATAATAAATAAATAAAAATATATATATATATATATATATATATATATATATATATTAAAAAGAATTTAAATCTGGGTTATTTATAGTATTACTATGTCTTCTTTATTTATTACGGGTTAATTATTCATCAGCACTAATTTAGCTTTTTTAGTTTATGATGTGTTTAGAAAGCCCTCGGTCAAACGGTAATTTTACAAACAACCAACAAAGAATTTTATTAATAATTGTGCGTTTTAATTTTTTGGAACAACTTGACGAATTTAATAGAATTTTTTAGGAGGCTCCAATGACTATAGATCAAATCTATCCAAGACCTACCTGTATCTACCATTCCTTTTTTGGAGTCAATATCAGCAATGCAATTCATCAACGATAGACCCAATTCAAATTATAGAACTATGACACAACCAAACCCGGTGGGGATTATTACTCATTTTTGTACTTGTTTTTTTATTTGACAATTATTTCTTCAATTAAATTAAAATTAAGAAAAGGAGAAAGAGAATAAAAATTCTAAACATTCTCTTAGACCATTCGGAATGATCTCATCTCATAATTGTCCATGACTGCTTATATCTCTAGCATAAAATCATAGTAATTTCTACGTAAAAGATTTTGATTTTGAGACCCCAATTAGGCCCGATATTAAACATTTTAGTATTAATCCGATGACAATAGTAAATTGTTTCAGGAAATTTAATTAGATATTTAATCTTGAATAAAATATTGTTGAATATTAGTAATGAAAATCCAATTTAGATATTTTTTACACTTTTATTCGATTTTACGTAATTTGTATCACCGACAATCTTGTGGGGTCCGATCTTTACATGGAAAAGGATCACCCATTAAGGAGATGTATGTAGAATTGTACAAATTGAACAATTAATCTGAAGTGGCTTATACCGTGATATATTAAGTGGTTTCTAAGGTTTTTAAATTTAGATATGAAACCCAAAATCAACCCGAGATTAAAATTTGAATTAAGTCTTAAAAGGTACAGGCGATAAACGTGTAAACCAGTAAGATTGGTCAAGTAAATAGATTGATACAAACTCAGCTAAATATAAATTAAATTCAACTAAATATAATTTATACACAGAATAAACTCAATACGTCGCCAGCCCAATTTTTCATAATTTATTAATAGGTTGAATATTGATTGAAACAACCGGTTTAGATAAACAACACTAATCGTTTCCTGGTGGACCATTTACAAGAACTTTGGTTGCACGTGTTAGTTCATTGTTACCTGTTATCACAATAACCCCAACTCAATTTGAATTTTTTGGTGTCTGAATTCTGGATAATATTCGAGTTGGGGTTTCGGAATGATGGGTTCAACCCGAACCCAACCCAAATTTAAGAAATTAAGTTCAACTCGAATTCAAGTATAAATATTTAAAAAACAAAATATTGCACATACACATTTATGAATTATGATGCATAAAGTGTTTATGCAAAATTAATCAAGTATGTGAAGAGATTTGCTCAACAAAATCAAAAACACAAATTAGGTGTTTTCAGTATAAGTGCCGTACTCCATAGTGAATAACTATGGTGATCAGATAGTTTTTTTATTCAAAGTGTATAGAATGCTAAGAGATGAGTGATGCCCCCTCATGTATAGGCAGGTTTTACAATTTATTGGCAACTAAAGTTTCATAACAGCTCTGAGGGATTCCTGATTGAGACGTCATTTTCGTAATAATGAGTAGATTATTTATATCTAACTCTATGGTTAGCTCATTTAGTTCTTCATTTAGTACTATACCGAATATAGTAAATGAGAAAGAAGAAGAGCACTATGAGTCACAAGTAGACTAGAGTGGATGGAATATCCCAAAGGTATCTCATCGTAACATCTACAAGACGAGTTGAATTTCAAAAGCATTCAACTCTGAACTTCAAGTAAAAGCAATTGAACAAGTTTATGCTCTCAACAAAGAGGAAGAAACTTGTCAGTTAATTAGTAAAGAAGCCCTAAAGAAACATCGGGAAAAATGTTTTAATTTTATTCACCTTAGTTTAGTTCAAGTAGCAATTAAATCATTAATGTCACCTGGTAAAGATGCAGCAGCTCTATTAATCCTAAAAGATGTCAGATTCATAGATTATGAACCTAGCATTTTAGAAATAATTGAGACTGGTCTCCATATCGGACCAGTTTATTTTAAGTGTTTTCCAAACTTTACCCTCAGCCTTAGCTGCAAAAATACACCTATAGCTCTAATCTTAGGTATAAAATTGTTAGGTCAAATTATCAAACTGGTAAAA